GGGGGGGGGGGGGGGGGGGGGGGGGGGCGGCTGTCCCCTCCTGCCCCCCTGTAAAATACGCCACTGGTTGCACTCAAAATTTTATCACAATGCGATGGGTCAAGGACCTAATTACGTAAGAAGGTTCTGCGGATAAATAGGAGGTGACATAAATCAACCCGCTTAATTGCGTCTGATTGCATGACCATTTGCCCTCTATTTATTTATTTATTTCCCTTGTATATTTTATGCATTAATATAGTCATTCCTCCTATTTTTATATCCTCACACGCGCTACCCCCCACGGACGTAGTGTATCGGTGTGGCCATCCCTCGGGGTTCCCCTCATCCCTTCGCCCACCTCCCCCCTCCCCCGGTCGCCCTCCTCCCTGGCCCCTAGTGGCTTCTCCAGCCGCAGCGTCGGGACGAAAGCGACTCGTTCTTAATTGAGTCAATGAAGGCAAGCGAGGAGACGTCCTCGCGCGCTTAACGAGCACAACTCGGCTGCTCTCAAAGGGAAACGAGATGACTTATGTAATTGGTCTCAAGGACATCATCGCGACGAACTTGGGCCAAGTTCTAGTCATCTGTCCACGCTTGCCTGGGTTTTCCAGGCGCAATCACAGGCGAAACAGTTCACCCCCCCATTCGAGTCCCCCCGACCGTCGTCTCTCCCTGCTTCGAATGCAAATTCTGTTTGAGCAAGAGCTTTCCTTGAGGAATTCCAGAATTATTCAGGAATTTGCCGATATCTCTGCGGAACAGGATTCATCGAAGTTCATTCGAAGTTTTTTTTTCTCATTATAATTTCATATTTCGGCAGATTGCGACGGAATTCATCTGCATACTGTTTTGCATGCATTCTCTGACAGCAAAAGAATCCACGGACGATCTGCAGGACCGGAAGAGTTACGAGAAATCCCATCCGTTTCGTTGCGAAATGAATACTCAGTCACTGCCACTACCCCACCATTCACGCCGTACACGCATCCCGTTTCCTGGACGCTCGGATAACGGAGCTTTAAGATTTCTCAGAGGAGATAACGCTTCCACGGCCAACCCAGTAGAGAGAATGACACGAAGCGCCGAGCCCGAAACGGGGAACGACCTCGCCCTGCATCTACGTCATTCCCTACGAAGCAGACCGAGCAGACTAAGCAGACTAAGCAGACTAAGCAGGCCAAGCAGACCGAGTCCCGAAGCGCGGGAAGCCTACAAAGAGTCTCGAAAGATCGGATTACGTGAGAGAAGCTGTGGAAGACCGGGATCTGGGTGGGCCCCGGGGGGCTGTTCTGCGTCGACTGACGCTCGCTCGGGGCTCTTACCCGTCGGATTCGCTCGAACGCCGCCAGGTGGCTGTCGGGTAGTTTCCACGTGAAGCCGTCCCAGTACGAGTGCTGCAGGAGTTGGGCACACGTCGGCCTCAGCGCCGGGTCCTTCTCCAGACATTTCTGCAAATGGGACTCGGTTATCGCTCGTGAGACGTCTTCGAATGGTTCATCGACTCTTTTTTATCCGTTGGCGGACGGTGGTTATCGAAAGTTGGATTTCACGACTCGGCTCAAGTGTCTTGCCATTTTTTACGCTTCACAGGGCGGCGATGACGGAGTCTCGACTTATTTTAATGCTTTGTACACGTCGAAATGTAGCACAGAGGGGAATATGGAGATGGAAACCAGGACATTGCAATTCCGTGATTTTGCAGTTCGTCTCACCTTTGAATTTTGGCCCTGGCAAAAAGCCATCGGAGGAACATGTGCAGCCTGCAATGCAGTTAGTGTCGACTGTCGACTGACGCGGCGGGCAGGCCTGCCACGAAGGCGCCTGACCTGTTTCAAGCTCGTGCCCACGCTGTGGAACACGTCTTGTCTCCTTCCGTCGAAAACCTCATAAGCCAAGATTGTGGCAATGGAGTGACCACATCGCTACATGCTCCCGATCGAGACTTTCCCATTCGATGGCATTTAGGAAAGAGAAAGAAGATCTCCGCACCGCAATCACGGAGCAGTCGTCGCCCGATTCGACCGAGAATTCCCCAACCCCCAACGTGGAATCCGGTCGCAAAATTCTCCCTCTCGCCTCGAACGTACCTTGAGGAAGTCCATCCCCCTGGGGCCCAGCTCCCGGGGCATCCTCTGCTCGAGGGGGATGATGGAGTCCGGGTCCGGGATGGACACGCCCATGAAGAATTCGTTGCTCTTGAAGATGTGGACGTGGCGCGGGATCAGATCACCTGCGGGAACGAGGAGATCATTCGCATCTTTCTTTCGTTCGAATCGCAAGACTATGGCTATTACAAAGACGCGTTCGCTCGAATCTCTCGTGGATCCCCAGATGGAGGCAATGCGCGTGAAGGACGAGTGCCCCATCGAGAGAGACGAGAACGCTTTCACTCGATCCGTCTTTAGTGGCATCCGAGTTCGTCCGAAGGAAAAAAAAAGGGGGGGGGGATCACACAGGAGAAGATCCATCGAGATGGTTCCAGGGAACTTTATGGGATCCACAGAGGAAAGAAGAGCAGGCAAAATGCTGCCGAGAAGCAACGTAATGAGATTACAGTGACCTCTTGCCTTCTCCCGAAAGGAATCTTTCCATTATTCAGGCACAATTACGCATCTCGTCCCAGGGGAAATACGGACGAGATGAACTGCCCTGAGTCCTTGCCCCGAGTCCTTGCCCTGAGTCCTTGCCCTGAGTCCTTGCCCTTGCCGAGTCCGAGTCCTTGTCCTGATAAGTCCTCCACTTAAAGCCTTCCCTTCCCACACTTCGTCCCTTGCGTGCGCTCTGAAGACGCCCTGAAGACGCTCTGAAGACGCTTTGCTTCCCGGTCCAGTTTATTACACAGCTGTTCTACTTATTTTAATAGAATACATTCATAAAACGCACATGATGAAAACTCCATAGATTTTCCGATCGAAAGCTATGAGTGAAAAGGAAAAAAAAATGACGCCTTCAAACAACAAAGCTTCCCTTTCCCTTTAAAAGTCTTCAAAAGAAACTCCTTTCAACGCGTCCCAAATTCCCCCCCCCCCAGCGAGCATTGAGAGCCCGAGAAAAGGATAGGGCGTTGACCCCCTCGTTCCCCCTCGTTCCCCCTCGCTCCCCCGGAGAAAGAAAAGAGGCTGATATCGATACAACCATCCACACACGGTGGTCACACATTCCAGGCTTCTTCCTCGGAATTCCGTGCAGATGATCCTGACGTGCAAAACCATGAACATGTGCCAAGGAGACGATCCATCACCGCCGAAACGCATCCATCACCACCAACGACGACCACGCCCCTCTCGACGGCAACCAGGAAACTCAGTCTCCAGAGTGAATCCGAAACCAATTTATATTTCTTAAAAATCGAGTCGGCGGAGCCACGAATTCCCCCGGTCCCCTTTCGCCTAGAAAGACGCATACCGAGGGAAAGACGAGGGAAAGACGAGGGAAAGACGAAGGAAAGACGAGGGAAAGACGAGGGAAAGACGAGGGAAAGACGAAGGAAAGACGAGGGAAAGACGAGGGAAAGACGAGGGAAAGA